GTGACTGGGGTAATCGGGATGGGTGTATCAAAGGCGGTGAGGTTGGCGCAGGATAGAGCGGGGTTTAGGGCTGTTGTGCATAGGGTCAACTTGATAGCACATAACAACAACAACAAGTGCAGCACGCCCTTGGGCTCAACCAACATTTACACACAAAAGCTCACCCACCAGGTCCTGATTGACTTAAACAAAAGGCTTCCAGGACACAGCTAATTGTTGACTAAATCCTGGAGGTCAATTAGCTTACACAGAGTTGTTAACAAGAAATGATCAACCAGAAAAGGTCTAGTGGCATGTATTCTAAATAAGTATGGTTTTTTTTTATGTTTAGGCTTTAGAGGAAAAGCCAGAAGTCATGCTAGGATTGAGGATGAAGTTAAAGGGAGAACAGAAATTATTGGAGAGGGAGAAATTAACTCTGAATGTGCTGCTGGTCATTTTTCTTCTCCCTCTCATTCATTCTTTATAACGTTGAAAAGAAAAGTTTCTATTTCCCAACAGAATCCTCATGTACCTGGTGAATTGCTCTCTGGGAGATGGCATTAACTACTCATCATACCAAAAAAAAAAAATCATTTTTTACTGGGAAACTTGGCTTTGAGGCCCAGTCTAAGACTCTATATCCTTTTACCTATACCAAATTGTGGACAATAAATGATATGATGAAAGCTCTGGTGATGTAGTCCACAGCAGGTTGTGTTTCTTACCAAAAGGAAAGACCTCATGTCTCCATCTGTTCAAATCCACCAGTGACTCCATGGGAGGAAATGGGAATTCTTCTGTCCTAATGATTTACAGTCTTGGAAACCAATCGGGCATCACTATTGGCTGGAACTGACTCATTGACAGGGAATTTGGAATGAGATGTGAAGAAAATTCTCATCTTCAGGCTGTCCTTCTCTCTGTGTGTTCTAGCCGGTGAATTTGAACTTCTAACTTTCTCATTAGCAGAGTAACATGTAATGTGCTATGCTGCCAGAGCTGCTTATAGCTTTATACTTTCATTCACTCTCATCCATGGCTGTTGAGTCAGTTCTGATCCACAGACACCTTCCATTTGGTTTCTGAGGCTGTATATCCTAATGAGAGGAGACTTCTCTCATCTTTTCCTGTTGAGCTACCAGATAGTATGGCCTTTAAGAATGTGACTTTTTCTGGACTATGACACCAGACCTCTAGACTAGGAGAGGAAAAAGTAACATCTTAAGTATTCACTGTCAGACTAACTGTCCCTTTTCTCAGATACTTTCACTATGTTGTGAGGTGCCATTGAGTGCAACTCATAATGATTCTATCAACAACAGACCTGCGCTCTGTCCTATCTTATGCCAACCTCACTATCTCTGATACATTCAAAACCATTGCTAAAGTTACTGGGCAATCCACCTGATTGGCATCTTCCTCTCTTTTGCTGTTCCTTCTCACCTTTCCAAGCATGATGTCCTTTTCCAAGCAATAGCTTTTCTAGCAACAAGCCCAAAGTAGGTACATGAGACCGAGCTTTAACATCCTGACCTTCAAGGAGCACTCTGGCTGAACTATAGATTGGAGTAGGTTCCTAGTAAATTACTTAAACTGAGCATTGCAGACTTGACTCTGAATTCCTAATAGTTGCAAGTGTTTTCTGTATAAGTGCTTTAAACAGTTATCTGAAAATCACAGACACCTACCTTTTAGTACTGCATCTGAGGCTCCTTCCAGGAAAACAGAAACAGCCCAAGGCATAGAGGCGGTCCCCAAAGACTCCACCCTCCTGTTCTAGAATTAGGAAGAAAGAAATGTCCTCAAAGTGAAAAGGATACAGAAAGACATGTTTTAATTCAAGGAGGGATGGGAGAGAGCAGAAAGAAATAATAAACAAATATGTTCTTTTCCTCACATTACAAAGAAATAAAAAAAAACAGCTGATGGCAAAAAGAGAAGGAATATTATTGTAGGAAAAGTTGGGATTGGGCTTGGAGAAGAGAAAGGAAAGCTATGTTTACAGAAGAAGAGAGTGGTGTTGTGAGCTGAAGATTAATAGGAAAGTCAAGACTACATAAGAAATGCAGGAGAGAGTAGGATGAACACCTGACCAGCTCAATACAGACAGACTCTCTGGTATGGATTGGCCTCAGCCCCCAGCCTTCTCTCCTCCGCAAATAGGCAGGGAATACATTTTTTTTTTAATTTTATTATTAATTTTAAAGAATGTTTACAGAGACTGTGGATTTCTATTCATTCATTTTTGCATTTTTCTCCCTGCTCACTTCTCCCCTCCAGTTCGCTCTTTTCTTTGAAAAGTAAAAGAAAAATTCTTTCATTGGTATAAAATCTCCCCCACCCAAGCCCACTCCATTATGTAGCCTTCATTCTGGACTCTTGTCATGACCATAATACCCAAACATATATCGCTTTTAAACAGCATTTTAAAAGTAAAGTGGAAAAGTACATTTAATTATATTTCCCTCCCTTATTCAATAAGTTTGATTTAAAAAAATACAAATAAAATCAGAAAGCATATACGCTAAATTTGGATAATTTATCACACTGAGACCTCTTGTTGATTATTTTCTTAATCATATATCACAGGATTATGTTTTAATGACATCAACCTATGTCATTGTGTCATTAAAAAATAAGCTTCACAGCATCTTGAAGGAATGCGGTTCCAGCTCAATGGTACTCAACAATAGTGGTTTGTTGTTGCATCATGTCAAGTCAATTTTTCCATTTCTAGCAACCCAACATGAGTTTTAAAACTGTCCCACAGGGTTTTTTAAACTGTAATCTTTATGGGGCAGACTGCTACATCTTTCTCTCATGGAGACACCAGATAGGTTCAAACCACAAGCCTTTCACTTAGCAGTTATGTGTTGAACTCTTGGCCACAGACTTTTTGTAAGAACTTAGAGCTTTTTCTCAGAGCACTATGTACAGATTTAAAATAAATCAACTGAAAAGGCTAGATTTCAAAGAAGAGATGAGAAATTTATCAAAAAAATTACTTGGGGATGAAAAGTATCAAAATTATATTTTTTTAAACCCTTGATCAAATTCTGAATACTCATGGGAAATGAGAGGAAAGGCAGGCTGTGAAATAAAAGGAAGATAAAGACGAGTTAGAAGTGGCAGTGCATGAAACGTCACACAAAGACATGCTTTAAATGCAATGGAGTTTAAAGCACATGCTGAATACAAGCTTCTCAGCTCTATGGATTGTTATCTGTGAAAAAGGTACCTGCTTATCCAGAAAAACAAGCTGTGGTTGGATGGGAAGTTCTTTTCCCACCTCTCCATCTGAAGGCTGGACTAGGACTGAGAGAGAATAAGGCCGGATATATATCACGCTCTCAATATTAGCACTGCTTGTATTTCTGGCATATGTGAAAATAAAGAGAACACATTCAGAGATTACAAATATTACTATAACAGTTATTTCCTTTAATACATTATTATCAGTGATAACATTTACATTTGCTTATGTTTCTAGGAACTTAATATTATATTGCACAACTACTATATTCCAAAGAAGGATTAGATATTTGTTTACATTGATTCTTTTGACTATAATGAAGGAGGTATTAAAAGTGGGTTTAGGGAAGCACATTTTCTAATTTAGACTTTATCATTTCATAAATTATTATCCATCAGTAAAATTCTCAATGAGAGAATTTATCAAAGTAATATTTAGAAAGGGTTATGTTTACTAGAATGCTGATAAATCAATGCTCAGACTGAGAAAGAAATAATAAAAAGGAAAATGAGCCTGATTTGTAGTATTTTTCAATTTCTGTGGTATAAATACTTCCACCATAGTCAATCCCAAACTAATATAGAGTCTCCTAGTTGAAGACCAGGAGCCAGTTCTAACATGCCACTCCTTTACATATAATCACTCACTTAATCTTTATAATAATTTATACTTAACTCTTTAAACAATGTGCTTATTATCAACTAGGTTCAGCAACCACATTATTAATTGAATTATTTCTGGTGGTCTAGCGGTAAGAAGCTGGACTGCAATTCCAAAGGGACATGATTCAAATCCACCAGCTGCTCTGTGGGATAAGGATGGGAAATCTCCCATGTCATTTACTGCTTCTGAAAACCCCCTGGAGGTTCAGCTATGGCTCCGTTCCAACTTGATGGATTGCACACAATAACAACAACCACCACCACAAACAATTGCATGATTCCCTAAGTAAAATAAAGTGATCATTCCTTGATATCCAGAGGGGACTGGTTACAGGGCCTACCCCATGCCCACCACAATTCACAGTGTTCCATCATGTGTAATAAAAAATCATTTGCATGCCATACTATAGAAATCTTCCAGTATATTTTAAATTATTTCTAGATTACTAAGAACACCTAATACAATGTAAATGTTATGTAAATGACACTTCACCTCTCTTTTATTTCCGAGATTTTGTTTTGACCACTCAATTGTCTTTTAGTAGACTATTCCTGCCACCCTCCACCCCCTACCCCCGCCCCTCACAGTGTACACAACACAAGTAGCAAAGGACGGATAGCAAAGGTGAACAACGCTCAGATAAAGAGTGCTGGAGGGAGACTAAGGATCTGAGAGATGGTGGGAGTCTATAGCAAGACATGTGTGCACGTCATTTTTGGTAGAATCAGTGTAGTGCTCCCTTTGTGACAAATTCAAGCTTTGATCTTTGGAAGTGCTTCTCAAATAGGCTTAATCCATAGTTGGTTGGGTCTGTGAGCACAGAATTTATTGCTGTAAAGGACCAAGTGTACTTAGAACATTTTATGAGCACTGACTTAAGCTAGAGAGCTCTAGTGGTTCAATACATCTTATGTTCACTGCTACTCAGAAGTTGGCAAGTCACTTCGGAACTGGCTGTGTGGTAGTGAGTTTTGGTTCTAGTTGTTGTTGCTTTAATGTTAGCTCTAACTCAGAGCTGACCCTCCAGAGGGTTTTCTAAGGCTGTAATTTGCACGGAAGGAAGCTGCTCATCTTTCTCCCACAAGACAACTGGTTGTTTGGAACTATCTGCCTTTGAATTGGCAGCACAACTCTTTAGCACTCAGCAACCAGAGCGCACTAGACCAGCTGCTGCTTTCAGATTTTCATTCATTAACTCATTATATCTTTACAGCAAGTAAGTATTCTTACAATTTTACTTTATGTATGAAGAAACAGATCTGAAATGTTTTAAGTAACTTGCCATAGGCCTTATAACTAGTAAGTGTATACAAAAGAGCTAGAGCGATCAATCAATGAGTGTCCTATATTGCCTCTCTCTTCTTCAAGCTTATTAATTGTTGATGTAGCTTAGCATTGTTGTGTACCATGGAGTTAGAATCAATCCATTGTTGACCCTCCAGTGGGTTTTCAGAAGCAGTTAATCACACTGTGAGAGGAGAATGCCCATCTTTCTCCCATGGAGTGGCTGATGGATTCAAAGTGCCTGCATTTGGGATTGCAGCACAGCCTCTTGTCACTAGGACACCAAAGCATTAGGATGAAATAAATACAATAGAAAATGAGAAAATAGCTATCTAATCCATAATGACTCGATATATAATATTTTACTCAGAGATTTGGGTTTGGCATTTTAAGAAGTCCAACTAGATTTATTAAGAGAACATTATATTTTCAATTTATGTGGAAACCAGACTAACTGGATCCACCAAGACTGGGGGAACTCACTAGTTTAATGCCTGTAAATAATCTTTAAAACTTAAACTACCCTGGAAGCTCTCTTTAAACTAAACAACAGTTTAGCACCATTAATAATGTTTTCTTTGAACAACACACTCTTTTTTTAACTTAATTTTAATGAATGTTTACAGAGATTTTGGATTTCCATACATTCATTGTTGCACTTTTCTCCCTGCCCACCCCTCCCCACAGGTCTCTCTTCTCTTTGAAAAGTAAAAGAAAAATTCCTTCCGGCGCTGGCTGAAAATCGCCTGTGACTTCATCCATAGCCACTGGTGAGAGTCAGCGCCCAGAGCCATCAGGGGCTTTAAGCTCGTTGCCCACTGCTGTGGTGTGGACAGCTGAAACCCAGGCCCCGACAGGCACCTGGGGGGGGTGGGG